CCTGTGAGGCTACCCGAGAGATCTCTGTCAAAAATAAAAACTAAAATTGTCCAATAATCAGACAAAGCAAGATACCGAAATACGTGGCTCAAACACGGCACGTGCCRTGATTTACCCCCAGTGTTATCTTTTAAAAGCATCTTGTCCAGCAACTTGAAACAAAAAATTATAAGTTGCTGGAATATATTTTTTAATCCCCTAGAGAGAAGAGAACACGATACGATTTTGGAAACTCCAACCGATCTATAGACTGAGAATATCCACGTATGCAATAGTTGTTTTCTTTAATGTTACTTTTATTCGGGAAGTTACACATTGGCTACTGAATTCCACAAGAAATTGAGGCAATTTTTCTTATTCTGTGTCTTACTAGAAAAAATTTCAAAACTTGTTTTTATAGGAGTTGTTCATTTCCCGAAGAAATGAGCGAACGAAAAACGAAAACTATTACTTTTATTTGAAAAGTTACATGTACATTCATAGTTCCACAACTGGCTACTTGATGCTCCTTACATGAAATTAAACTATTTCTYTGTCTGACGTTTCAGAATTGTCACACTTAAAAATTGCATGCCTTACTTATTAGGAATCTTCAATTGTATTACCTTGCTTTTAGAGACATGTCTTTTTTGAAGACATATCAAACTTTTTATGACAACTAATTAGTCTTCACTTATTATTGGCCTTGAGGTAAAAAGAAAGAAAGAAAGAACGAAGAAACAATCAAAGGAAAAAATCAAGAAAAAAGGAAATGAAGAAGACGTAAGAAAGAAGAATTCAAGAAAAAAGAGCAACAAAGAAAAGATCATATATTCATAATAACAAAGCAAAAACAAAAGGCTAATTGAAGAGACACTCTTTGCACTACAAATGAATTCAGATCGCTATATGATTGGAAGATTGGCTTAAGCAATTGACCAGTATATCAAATGCTATTGTGTCAATGTTTCTAAACGGACTTATTTGAGATTAAGCGAATAATATGGTTACCGTGGAGTGCTGTTTGATATTTCACCCTGTTAGTAAATTCACAGTGAGAAAACAAGGTTACCAAAAGCAGTAATTTATAAATGACGCCTCTGAAAATATATGAAGGCATCAAAAAATGACTTTTTTCAAATAACAATCAGAAACTACAAAGGACCGAAAAAAATTGTTGTAATAAAATTAAGCAATTAAATCTTTAGTTCAATGTTTAGATAACAGAAAGAAAACGGACAAGGAAAGGGTAAAGCATATACATATAGAAATAAAAGAATTAATTTTTCAAATATTGTACTTAGGACGTGTGTACGACAGAGGGTAAAAATCTGGCTAAATGGGTTGACGAAAGAGTGGGATGAATGGACGTTGATAGGGCCTGTTATACTACTCACATGCGGACATTTTGCTGAAAATCCTAGAAGAGAAGCACAGATAGGCTAAAGCAGAATATTCTTGATCATATATACAAACTCGAGAACAGGAGCACGGGAAATCAAGTGCATGTAATCAATGATTATGTATACCACGCCTGTCATGGTGAACAACGCCAAATTTGGGAGCCTCATTCTCATTGGACGTCACGCAATCTAGTTTAATGTCACACCAATGATAAGACATGTTACGATTTTTTTACGAGGGATTGTTTACCATAAGCCAAACGTAAACCAGAAACATATAAAATAAATATGTAAAGCTACGTGTTGTCTACCAGAAAAAAAAAAAAAAAAAAAGAAATTAAGTATTTCTCAGCAACAAATTTTAAAACCCTCCGTTCAAGTCCATGAATGAAATGCCTCAGTTTTCTGTCCAAAAAAAGTCATGCCAGGATAAAAATCCTTAAATTCCTAACTCCTTCCGTTCCTGTAAGCAGCTTAATTAGCAGGAGTCGAGAGCATTTACAAAAAGACACGATGAAAAGCAATTGAAGGAAGCTTTGTCAACATCTTCATTAACTTGCYTACTTAGAGTGAGCCACTCAGGACTGCGAGGTTGTTTTCATCATTTCAAACATAATACAATTGGAATGTATGGATTTCAATAAACAAAATAAATTGAATGAAAGAAAATAAAGGTACATTAAACAAAGAATAACCAGTGACAGGAAARCGAAACAGAGACTGAAAATATCAAAGAAGCACTATGTGTTGATGTGCGGAGCCTCCTGGGCGGAGAAAAATATAATAACGCAGAATCTTCGATTTAAAAACAAAGAGGTCGGAATTGTCAAGTGATGTACTTCAGTTAAACCCTAACGAGCCAGTAATGAGTATTTGATTTATTTATAAGTCTAGGAATTAAGATCAGAATTTATAAAACGGTTGATGTATAAGGTATCATCTTACCGTCCACTGTCAGCTCGGCAACAGTCATGCACGTCCCACGCCTGTTCGTAGCCTTACACATGTACTCGCCTTCATCCTCAATGACACATTCAGATATGCACAAAGCATAAACATCCGGTTCTTCATAAACAAAAGTAAACCTCTTCCCTTCCTTTATCTTGTCTTCATCGACAAACCACTCGATCTTGGGCGTTGGTTTGGCTTTGTTACGGCACTCGAGTCGAACTGGGTTTCCTACGTTAGCATGAGTATCCTCGAGCTCTTTGGAGAATATTGGCTCGTCTGCAAGAGAGGGTTACGTTCAAAGATTAGCATTGTTAAAACTGTCTACCGTTATATAATCGCATATTACATGTTACTTCTAAGTTATAAGTACATCGCTTCAGTAGTTGAGATAATTTCAAAAAAGGTTAAGTTGAAATTAACAGTTTTAAAAAGTATTACTTATTCTTAGTCGACAGACTTCTTAAAAAAAATCAGACGTGCATGACGAGAACCATTCTGGAATGTTGATATTATCTYACTCATTATTTTCTACAACAACAAAACTCTAGAATATGTTTGCTACGGATTATTTAACGTACTGGAAGAAGAGTATTCAAGGTGATGTTCCATGAYAATCCATGAATAAGTACGAATATTAGAAAAGGAAAATGTTTGAAGAGTGTAAAACTAACGATTTTAGGACAACAGATTTGTATGTAAAGATGAAGGACACACCGAATGTAATGATGAATTATTAACAGAACCGCAACTTGATTGAATACCCTTCTTATGAAAGATGACACAATAAAAGAAATCACTAAATGAGATAATCAAACAAACAAAGGGAGTAGTAGCCTGGAACATCTAAATTATGTATGTTGTTATTACATAACGTCGAATGWTAACCACGAAATTTCAAGTGGACGACTCGCTAATATCAAGCGATTGTGAAAGCCAGTTGGACTGGTTTTGATGGCTTTAACCACACATATATATCGTACTTTTTTATGAAAGACACAGTTAAGCGAGTATATAAGCTCGTTTGAGTAGATTATATCTTATATTCAAATTACTTGAAAAATTCAACATTCTGCTGAGAATATCCAAATYATTAAAGTTTGTTCGCACATTTTATCGGAAGTCTAATTTTGTCGTTTACATTGATTTTGTAGGGTTCCTTTTAAGTAAAACTGTCCTGTACTTAATTTTTATTTAATTCTTTTGAACAATAGGCCATATGTAAATGAAACTTGTCTAATGATCTTGTGGCTGATACTGAGGCAAGAGAGTTAGGGCTAGACCGTTGTTCTGTGGGTATTTTGGTTTCTCTCTGTTTTGGGGCCAGTCACGGCACGATAGGATTCAGTAAAATGCAATGCAGATTTAATTTAGGGGACAAACTGACACTGTTTCATTGATGGGGTGCTAAAAATGGTGTTCATGAGAACAACCAAATTTAAACATGATTAAAACGTGGCCTTAAAATTTTATGAGAAAAGAATCCGCCAGACAGCGAAGCATTGATATTTCATCATACTTTTTGCTCGTAACGAAAGACTGACTTAAATTAGATTACATCAATTATGAATTATTCAAGATGTTAGTTTCTAAACACATCAAACAATGGCATATGTTTATAATCACCCATGATGCATTTGGATATTTTTGTCCTGCCTTACCTGCTTGCGCTCTGAAAAAACCTGTTTAACCAGTTATTTGTGATTAAGCCATATAAAACGCGCGTGTGTCTGTATTGTAATATAGAAACGCTGGGAGCTATAGAGCACGAGACGAAGCAAGCTTAKAAACATGAGCTCCCAGAGTGTTTATATCAYAATACWAAGATAAAAGCAGCGATTATGCGYGGGCGTKTCTTGGTATYCTGATATAARCATGGTAGCCATCCAATCAGCGCACACTATATATCTTAAATATTCTATAAGAGTATATATGCATGGAATAAGTGAACTATATATCCATAGATTTGCATTGTTTATACAATGAAAGTTATTAATAATAATTTTAGTGAATGTCGTCTGATTTCGTAATTCGTAACGAATGCAGTATAAATGAATGAATGAGCGAAAAGACTTTCGCAAAACAGTGGAATATGTACATTGTACGAGTTAGTTGAAAGTTGACGAAGGATTACTTCGACTATTATAAATTATRATTCCCAATGCGGGTCTGGAGACATTTCTCATTCCTCTCATTCATCTCTCTTAAACCGATAACCTATATATCTTGTTCCCCCTCCCCTGCATCCCCCCCCCCCCCCCCCCCCCCCCCCCCCCCACTGCATCATCTTGAATTTTAACGTATGAGTTGAAAGAATGAAAGAATGAACTGAAATAACGAAAGGTTAGATTATCAGATAGTGAATACGTATGCGAATGGGCCAATCTTGACCTTCGTAAATTGTATATTATTTCGTTGACTTTAATGCACTGCATCAACTTATTCYAAGTTAACATTATTATCGTTAAATAATGAACGAAGTACGAGCTGATATAACTGACAAAAGGTTAGAAAATTAGATTTTGATTCAAGTACGAATAGTCGGGCGCCACAGGCGACCCAACTGATCAATGTGAAGAATGATAACATTAGTCTATGCATCTTTTGCTTATCAACTTAATCCAAGTTAATATTACTATCGTTAAATAATGAACGAAGTACGAGCTGATATAACTTGAAAAGGTTAGAAAATAAGATTTTGATGATTCAAGTATATAGAGTTGGGCGCCACAGGCAACCCAGTGAATTAAAATCAAGGATTATAAAATTAGTCTATGATTACTGAGAATAAAACGAAAGAATAGCAAAGGTCAGTATTGAATGTCAGTATGGATCGCGTATTGAATTCACGAATGAACGAGTGGATAGAAATTCCACCACATCGTTGKCTTCTTCATACTTCTTTATTTTCAATATACTCAACAAAATTGTGTTAATTAATGTTTATMAAAAGCGGGTCATTTTTACTAAGATTACGGAAATTCTATAAATAAAAAGCGAAGCATCATTCATTACTTGGTCGGAATGCAAAAAAATACATCAGAGCGAAAATTGTGCAAAAAATTCTTGTGTTATCCTAATATATTAGTTCATGACATCTTAGAAAATTTATCGGGGGACGCTTTCTTGAACGAACTGTTGTGCACTTGAGGCAGTAAGAACACAGCAAAGCGTTTAAGACATCCATTTTTTTGCTTATTAATGAGTTTAAGCTAATAATATCAATGTATTAAATGGTCAATCTATGGCTTTTTCTGTACCTTCTTAAACAAATTGTTGCGAAACTTGAGGCAGTAAGATCCGCAGCAAATTATTTAAAAAACTGTTTTAAATTCTTACGACAAAGATTTGATAATCCAAATTATTTTTTACTAATTCCTAATTGTAATCGAATRATATTTGATGCAATAAATTCCTTAGGGTTTTTTTCTGAGTTCTTTGCAATTTTGTCGAAATTTGCAATTGCTTTAGTAAAACTACTATCTATACTAAAATTATCTAAAAACAATGATAATTGATATGATCAACATATTTCTAAGGCAAATTATTCCTTTGCTATATAATATTTATTGCGCAACAAACGTCTAATTAACCACATATTAAAATCAGTATTACGTACATTCATCTGACTCGGCTAGCTTCTGGAGCTCAGGTTCGGACGCCTCGGAAGACAGGGTATCCGTTGACGTTGACATACCCGTACGAATTTGCGAAGAAAGCTGGAATTCTTGCTTTTGATCGTCTCCTACCAACCAGGAGGCTGGAATCCAACCTTCCTTGACTTGTTTTGTATCTCCGGTGGTTTGGACAAAGAAGAGGTCTTTTCCTGAGCGAAGCACGCGGACAGTCTCACCGCGTCCGATCACGACTTCCTGGGTGTCTTTTTCAATTGTGTCTTCATGAATTTGATATGTTCCACCAAGTTCGACGTTCTAAAAGAAAGAAAGAAATAAGAATGAATCTGMAGAACTGCGTCATGCTGTAATTTTAAGATTTTTTAATATCGATATATATATACCTAAAGATTTTAAAGAGATTTACATACACGCTTAAGGAGTCATGGGTATAGGTTATAGCATGATAGATTAGAGGGAGGAAATTCATATATGATATCAATATGTTTTTATCTTTTGATTATTCAATTTATTTAAGTTTTGCAGGACCCTACCGTAAAACACTTATGTAAYCTTGAATAAAGATTATTATTATCTATCTGTAAGCAATGGCTGTACAGACAGGCCTATTTGCGTAACGTTAGGAACACGCTAATCTTAAGATTCCTTSTACTCCTATACAAAGTACGAAGAATCCATAGGGAGCGGTTGGTGAGGTACGATATTTCTACGAATATGATTACCATTAGTAAGTTTGGTACTCACCAAGTTTGGTGGAGGTTCAGGCGAATCAGGAGGTGTAATAGCAACGTATTGCTTTTCTACCTCCGCAACGATGTCCAACGAAGCAGAGCTGGTGACAGTTTCTTTGAATGCCGTCACAAGTGGGCCAGTATTTTCAGTYTTCTGTTCGACTGTAATAGTTTGGGATCGCTGGGTTGTTACTGTTTCTATTAAAAAAAAGAACGTTAGGGAAAAGGAGTTAACAATGCGTAATGGTGATCTTGTTCGTTATCCTCCTCAAAACGGGCAACAACGATTATGCAAGAGCGAAGAAAAAAAAAACAGACAAAGACAACAACAAGAAACCAGCAGTACACCACTAACAACAACATCAGAGACAAGTTATCTTGAAAGTGGTATCCAGCTTGCACCTTCATACTGAGTGTAACAATCTTTAAGGAAATTAAGCGAGACGGGAATAAAAACAAAATTGGCAGAAATGTATATTTTCTTAACTTACCAACATCAAGTTTTAACAGTCTTTTGAGATCTCGCACCCAAGCTTCCTTCGACCATGTCGACTTTGTCTATGAGGGGAAAAGGTTTTAAAAATTAGAATTATACATTTTCTAAAGGTGTGGTCGTGAATTAAAATGAACTTACCTCGAATGTGTGAAGTACGAGGGCGTTGGCCATGGAGCTGCCTACCCATACCATGAAATGTGTTGGTTCACCTTCTACATTTTCAGTTAACCCAACATTGGCAGTTGAAAGCTGAAATATTAAATTATCAAGGCAAATCAATCAAATATCGACGCATTATTTGTCTTATTTAGCTAACCCTACCGTGATACATGACGAAGTATATGTCATCACCATGGATACGTGTTATTTCTGGGTAAACTTTAAATCACTATGTTTTCAAGGTTGCTACAAGGTTGCCTAGATACGTACCGGAATTCATACAACAACATTGTAATGATAAAAAGGTAAAATACTACACCATGAAAAGATGAAAAAACTTACTGACGTTTCGGACGTTTCGTACTGATGTTTCATTAGAAACACCGACGCAGCTCACACTAGTTTTTAGCTAGTTATCTCTTCAACAACATTGTATTTATAATTTACCTTCAGCACATTTTTGCAGATGTATTTTTTTCCTTCTTCCTTTCTTTTCGTGTTCACCAAAGCTTTTTCGAAGAGGAACAAATCTCTTTCTTTGCCTTTTCCTCGGGCACGTTCCTCCCAAAACAGCATGGTTTCCTACAAAAAATGGCGAAATTTTAGTGTGGTGTTTCGTGAAAAAAAAGAAAAGAAAAGAAAACGGAGTGGAAAGCTAAAAGTGACTGAACCCAGTAACTGACTGCCCATTTACCTGTCTAATGAGTCTGCCGAGATCTTTGAGTGCAACTTCACCCTAATGGACGAAAAAATTCATCATCAACCACTTGCTGACGCTACTTATATTCTAAGTAGTTGTGTAATTTCATTCACACCCAAATTCATAAAAGGAGAGCTAGGATTCGCAAAATCTAGGACGGCGGCGTAAACAGAATGTCAATAATTTCTCTTCGGGTTTCTTCTATTCATTGGATAATTTAAAGTTAACTCATCCACAGGGAAGACAGACTTTGAAGCCGCAACTCCCCAAAGTGAAGTTATTTACACTTCCGTTGGACGTCGCCAATGCAACTAACAGATATCTGGAAATTGGTTTCCGTCATTCAGAAAAATGAACACAGACACTTCAAAATTTTAGGTAGCTTTCTCAGTCGCGTGCAGTTGGTTTAACTTACATGGTAGTTTTCTATAGTATGGAATTTGTGTATTCTCTCGCTCGCTTGTCTCGGAAGGTCTGCAACCATTTCCAGCGAAGACTAAAAGGAAGAAACAAATGCGTTATTCTTTTACAACATGACTTCAATGTTAATTATTAATCTTTATAATTTGGAAAGTAATTTTTGAAATGATACTCACGACAAACGATGTATAGTCCAAGTTCGCTCTGACGGTGTACATGAGGAGCATCTGAGGAATGAAAATGAAAGTTAGTTTAACATGAGACATTAGTCTTTTTTTCATTAAAATGTCACCGAGCCCGGACACAAAAACATTTAACGTTTTTAAAACATGTCTGTCTTTACTGATTACTGACAGCAGAGATCTATTGGCTGATTTCCCTGTCGTGACTGTTGTATCGATCAGTGCATAACAATGAAAACGGTAATTAAGTCTCACTTCTGCTTTGCATTAGTATGATGCAGGTCTAAAGGAGCAGTAGGGTTAACGATTTTAACGGCGTACGACCGTCCATGCTGAGTCTGCGCCAGCAAGTCCATACTCTAAAAAGTACAAGAACCTACCCGAATGAGACGTTGGTAGTCTTGAAGTCTTTGAGAGGGTTTCTTGAAGTAGTCACTGATAAAGTATTGATTACCCATGTCTTCCTTGAACTCCTGTGGTAAAAAGACGAAACATTTTCAATAAAAATAATGGTTTTTAATAACCTTTAAAATAAATAAATGAAACACGTTTCCTCGAATTCGGTATAAATGCTTGGTCGCTGTCTAAAAACTCATCGTGAATCCACAAATGCGGGGGAGGAGCGGGAGAAGAGGGAAGAGGGGAGGAAGGGAGGGGGAGGGGGAAGGAATTATTAAGAAGATTATTGGGGGTTGTACAAAGATGGGGAGAACCAGCTAAATATGTGGTAGATTGTTACTAAATAAAAGATTCAAGGACAACTATTCATACCTCCCAAAATTCTATGACCTCCTCGTCTTCGAGAATCTCGTTTGCAGCCGGTCGTGATTCAATGAAATCAATGTACATCTTGAACTCGGATTTCTGGCGGACATAGCATGAAAAGGTTTAGTAAAGATTCTATGGAATTTCATGGTGAACCTAACGAATACTCACGTATTTCATGAACACGTTTGGGATATTTTCAGGATTGTTCACACATGCTTCCAGTTCAGTCAGGAACGTCCTATGGAAAGAGGGAAGATCAGAATGAGGACTGATAGGATAACCGAAGTATAATGGAGAATGTGAAAAAGAGGGATACCAGATCATCTTCAAATGACTTACTTTGAGTGGAATTCATAAATGTCTTTCAAGTTGGCGAAAAACCTCTCTTTTTGTCCTACAAGTTTGTCTGGGATGTCATCAGCATCTAATTCGACCATGTGACTCTGTTGCACAAGAGAATATTTTTACAAGRATACGAATGGATGAATACATGCTTGAATGGGGATAAATATACAGATTTCCCCCCTATATAACCAAACGGTCCAACATAAAGGATGCACGAGAGAATATGTTTATGAGAATACGAATGGATGAATATATGATTGAATGGGGACAAATATACAGATTTCCCCCCTACATAACCAAACGGTCCAACATAAAGGATGCACGAGAGAATATGTTTATAAGAATACGAATGGATGAATACATGCTTGAATGGGGACAAATATACAGATTTTCCCCCTATACAACCAAACGGTCCAACATAAAGGATGAATAGCCAGATTATCAAACAGTGCGCAAAAAAATTAATATAAAACCAAAAAACAAGCTAAAATACACACAATACAAGCATGCCCACAAATCGGCTGAGATTAAATAGTTGTTTGTGGCCGTACCTCGGTCACCAGCTGAAGATTCTCGACGTACACTCGCTCAGTCTCGATCAATTCGTTCACGATTGACCTGAAATTGATAGGAAATTAAAAAAATAAGTAATAGACCTCTTGCAGCAAGTTGGAATGCAGCTCATTTTGTAGGACATAACAATAGGTTCCAATTCTCAGGAGACTTGAAATTCTTTTGTTTTGTCCTCCAGATCGAGCTGCTATGACGTCACATGCAAGGGGTCTAAAAAGTTAGACTTGGTTTCCTTTTCTGCAAATAAACAAGTCTGCACCTTTTCGAATTGTTGTTTACGTTAATCTATTAAATGAATATAATTTTATCATGCAGTACTATTATTAAATATCCAATGTTCAGTCACCCGAGWGTTCTTTTCAAATTTCAAGTTAAAAGTCTTTTTATGCATTCAACGGGAGGAAGACGTCAATAATTGGAYGGAAAAACTAGCAGCTGTTATTTATCTGTTTACCATATTTGTTATGCTTCCTTTAACTTCTATAAGAGGATTTAGAAACTCTACTTACTGTCGCCGTGCAAGAGCATCCTGTTTTCCAGAGGAAGGTGTTTGTAGCTGAGCAGATTCCAAGAAGATAGCCGGTGCCCATCCTACTTCCCCAGTACGGTCTAAAGATATAAGCCAATTCTCCATATCACGATCATCAATAATCGTCATCGTGTCGCCTTCGCAAAGAGTCAGCTCGCCAGGTAATTTTGGCGTGTAGTTCACGACTGATATGACTCGTTGCTTCTGTTCATCCTGAAAGATGGTTGTCAATATTTAGTTATCACGGGTTTTATGATGAATATAATAGGAAAACTTTCCTCCAAAATTTCGGAAACTTTGGAAGTTGTTTATTACTAAACTATGTGATAACTGTCTCAGTTTTTCACACACGCAATAAGTTTAAGAAAGACTTTTGTTTTAAGAATCCTATAAAGAAACTTACTGGTGTTAAGGTGGGTCTTTCTCTTTCGAGTCTGTGAAAGAAAGAAAGAAATACAAGTATGAGCATTGTTTTTTAAGAAAGCCAAGAAAGGGAATTACAAAGCCTTGTTTTACTTACTCGGCGCCTTCTTTTGTCAAAACGTTGGATCTTACGAAGCCGATCTCTGCACCACGTGAAACGCGTCTTACCAGCCAGAATTGTGGGCGGCTTGTGTCAAGTACCTCGACTTGGTCTCCTTTTACTAAGAATTTCTTTCCTGTTTCTTCTGATCTGAAGTCCTCCGAGGCAATGTAGAGTTGAGGCTTTAAGACCTGTATCAAAATCCATAACCGATCGAAACTTTAATATTAAAAACCAACAACGGAACTCTCCCTATAGGCCCTCTTAACAAACCCCACGATGCCTAAATTTATTTTATTTTTGAAATAGTTATTTCATAAAACTGAAAAGAATAAATTTGACGTCAAACGCGGAAAATAAAGTATTGTGGGATTTATTAAAATGCGTAAAGCGCACAAGTTGACTAAGCACACGAGTTAATCTTGAATAAGAAATCCTCGTAGAAAGGGAGAAAGCAAACGAATTCAGCTCACATATAATGCAGTGTCTACAGGGATCGAATCGAATACCACCTTACAACCATAGTGACGAAAGGCCAACGCTTTACCGCCAAGACACCGGTCCACTCCCACCCCCTCGGGTATATATAATGATTTGTTGGTTAAAAAATATAAAGGGAAACTGACTAAATTTGGGTTAATTTACAATAAGGTCAACGTTGAAATACTCACATCTTCAATTCTTGCCAATCCCGAGCTCTTTCTCACTGGTTTAGAATCTCCACCAATAGGCTTGAACCCAGGACCTTTTAAAACAAGACAGGTGTTAGTTTTAACGTATGCATAAGCTACATTCAGCTATTCTTAACGTAGTTATGACATAAGTTATATCAATCCCAAGGGATACACTTACACCATTTTACGGCTTCTTCAAGTCTAGGTCACCTAAAAATTCTCAAAAGTGTTTTTGACTATTCAAATCAAATAAGTATCAGCCAGATACACTTAAAACCAAATGTCAATTCCATAGGCCAACACTTTTTTCCTTACCCGGAACATATCCAAAGATTTTCACTGAAATTCAAATTATCTTCTGAACTATATAGATATACAAGCTAAAAAATGAATGCTAAATATTTTCTCTGCCCCCATTTTTCACCTTCCACATAAAGCTTTCCAATGGTCGAATCCTGTCCAGCGGAGTTCTTTGCCACACATTTGAAGAATCCAGAGTCCTTAGGCGTTCCCTCGGTTATCAGAAGTGAATGGAGGTCACCTTCGTCTAAAACCTTCATATGTGGGAAAGCAGTGGGGGTGATTTCCTTGTCGTCTTTGTACCACGTTACAGTAGGGGTAGGGTTACCGATTGCTCGTGCATCGAAGCGTGCAGCACTGCCACTCTCAATGGAACGGTCTTTCAAAAGAGCTGTAAATACTGGCGCTTCATCTTTGGGCTTGGGTTTTGATGGAGCTTCTGACTTCGGTTCTTTAATCTTGTGTTCTTCTTCGTCGGTTTCGAGATCTAACAAGAAAAAAAAAAAGAACAAATGTTATATTATTATAGTTCATACAAAAGAAGTTATTCAAGAAAATCCGAATTTGAAAGGGTTTATGTCGTACCTTCTACCAGGAGCTCAGCCTGGCAAGATATTGAGCCACCAGAATTGGAAGCCACGACCCGGTAGTCACCTTCGTCGTCGATAGAAGCTTTCTTGATGAGCAGCGAGTACAGCCCGGTTTCTGGCTCACTGACGAAAGTAATTCGTGAGCTTTCAACTAGTTCTTTCCCGTCTTTAGACCACGTAACTTTGGGTTCAGGTCTTCCTGTAATTCTTACATCGAAATGGATGGTGTCGCCTTCCAAGACCTCGCGGTCTTTGAGCTCTTGTTGGAATTCAGGTCCACATACGCTGTCACGTGATCGCCGCCTTGCATTTCTTAAGTCGGTAACACTTTCGTCAGCTGATGAAACCTCTGAGACTGAGTCTGTTTCACCTAAAGCGACCAAATATAAGATTAATAAAGATTGATGCATAAATGAATTGTAAATATGGGTGAGAAACTTTTCGCAGAGTTGCGAAGTTCAAGGAGAATATAAAAAGTCATACTTCAATAGACATGTAAATTCAGTGTAACATACACACACACACACACACACACACACATATATATATTTGAAGTCTGTTTTTCGAACAGAAAAAAATATATATATATAAAACTTCATGCGAATGAATCGTCAACTTACAGCACCGTTGAGTAGATCTGATGCCATACACCGCGTAGTTATTGTTAGTTAAACAAATAGTTCATTTCATGAGGGCTAAAATCATAAAAGAAAGTCAGATAAAGTGAACTTACTGTCAACTAAGACTTCTGCTGAACACGATGCTATTCCATAGTCATTCAAGAGAACACACTTAAATATTCCTTCATCATCGAAGATGGACTGAGTAATAGTAAGTGTGTGTTTGGTGCCTTCAGAAACGACGTTATATCGGGGCTGCATCCGTATCAGTTCATTGTCCTTAAACCATTCGACTTTCTTAATAGGTTCAGGTCCTGACGTCACTTCAAGTACGATGTCATCTCCTTCAAAGACGTCTAGGTCTGATAATGGAGTAACGATGGTTGGCTTTTCACCGGCGGTTCTTCTCGGTTTGGCGTCTTTTGATTTGGGGGTTGTGACACCACCATCTTCTGCGCCTTCGACAGACTCCATTGCTGTAGTAAAAAAGGAATCAAATATATAATAAAATTGAAAGAAATTTCGAAGATCGTTATCCTGTTTGATAAGTACTAAACATATAGCATTGTCTTTTTTTAAAGATTGCTTTACAATTAACTAACGAGTGAAAAACCACAAACCTGGATACCATTTAAGTTATATCTTACGTTTTCCATCAATGAATACAAAACTTTAGTTTATAAAAGTTATTGGTGATAACTCAGCTATTTGTTAAGGTACATACGTTCAACTGTGAGCAGTACTTCGCAGTCTGCAGTCCCAGCTTTGTTAGAAATAACACACATGTAAAGACCTTCGTCCTTTTTCTCCACTGGTGAGATTTTCAAAGTACAGTTTTCGCCATCTGAAGACATCTTCACGCGCCCACCATATTTGATAGTCTGTTGATCTTTGAACCATCTGATCGACAAAGGTTGGCTGCCAAGGGCTTTGATGCGGAAGATAGCTGTTCCCTTTTCTGTGACGGTCTGAGATTCGCACTCCTCAATAAACTCAGGTGCAACTTGCGAAAGACGCCTAAATATTTGTATATTAAGAAAACAATAAGAAGTAAATACAGGCGGCTTCGTAGAGAATTCCAAAAGCAATAATTCCAGTAGCAGTTCAGGAAATTTTAAGTTTCCAAATGGTAATATTTGCGGAAATTTTGCCAAGTTTATTTTACCAATGGCTCATCTAGTTGGTTATTTTCATTCTTAGCTCATTAGACTTTCAAGCCACGCTGCATGTGCTTGGCAGTCTACTTGCTCGAAGGGAACACTTTATTATAAAACACGACTTAAAAATAGAGAAGGGGGGGGGGGGGGGGGGGGGGGGGGAGAGGAGGGGTGGCGTCAGTGAGGAACATATAAAGAACAGTGTAACTTCTTTACAACTTTTGCTTTTCTATCTAAGTGCTAAGTGTATTCTTTTGTAAACTTGATAAGAAAACACAATACAACTGAAAAGAAAGAAATACCTTGAATCGTATTGTGGTACTTTGATACGCTCTGGAATAAACAATATAAATAATTTAGCGATATTTAATGGCTACGAGATTCATATACCATCTGTGAGGAATGCATTCATCTAAGTGTATGACTTACCTTCAATTAACACCTCACAATCAGAGTGAAGTGTTCCAGAAGAATTTGTAGCAACAACTTTATAAACCGCCTCGTCCTTGATAGCAACCCCGAAGATAGTTAAACAATGCAGATCACCTGCTGATATGATAGTTATTCGATGGTCTTCCTTTAGTAGGGTGTCATCTCTATACCAGGATACCTCAGCTTTGCATTCTGATGGAATCTTGACGTCTAGACTTAGGTTGTCACCTTCCTTGACTTGTTTGTCAGCCAACTCAGATGTGAAAGTTGGTTTTGGAAGTGCAGCTGCAGAAAAGACGAAACCTGTTACACAGTACCTTTTCTACATTATTTTCGGATAACAGAAAGCAATTTTGACATTCACTCAAGCTGATCTGAGAAAAAATGTTAGCCAATCAAAATCGAGAAAATGTGTAAAACTGAGGTGTCACTTGTTCTCTTAAATTTTGGATTTCCAGATCAACAAATAAGAAAATAACTTTGCTAATAAGTGCTTCATAACAGTGACACAATATTTAATGATTTTGATATTTTTATTCCAATGACGGGCAAGCTTTTATTTTTCTGTGGTCAATTTTTGCAGACTTCATGATACATCAGATTTGCATTGACGTCATTCATACGTCATTATTTCAGATCAGCTGGCTGAAATTGAGAATCCATCATAAAAAAATGTTAATCAAAGATGATCATACCTTTCTTTACTGGCTTTGGCTTGGTAACAGGTGCCGCGGGAGCTTCTTGAGCAGTTGGTTTTGAAGGCGGCTTTGGAGCTGCCGGTTCTGAAGGCTTTGTCTCTGCTGGTTTTGATGGTTGTCTGTTCATAGCAAATAGAATTGTATGTCATATGTATGGAAGTCATTATYATATGTACTTTATGTCTTTTAGACAACTTACTTTCTTGTGGCATCATCTTCGATAGATTCAGTCTCGGATTCTTCATCAGGAACTACGAAAGTTAAAATATACGTGTATATGACATCATGAACAATAACTTTTCAATTTCGAAATACACAATAAGTAAACAAAGGCAAAATATAGACGTGTTACTCATCAGAATCTACAAATTTAGAAATGTTTTGTGCCACTTACCTTCTATAATGAGCTCCGCCTCACAAGAGATGGTGCCTTCGTCATTTTCCGCCACACACTTGTAGATTCCAGCATCCTCGCGGTCAACGTCATTTATGATTAGYGCACAGTCTCCTTCTTCTGTTTCTTCAATTCTGAAGATTTCGCTCTCTTCTATCATTTTCCCACGGGTAAACCAGTCAACAAATGGTTCAGGGTAGCCGCTTACTTTCACATCAAATCTTGCTCGACCACCTTCCACAGCTTTACAGTTTTCTATTTTCTTAACGAATGAAGGTTCCACGCCTTTGGGAGTGGTTGGTGTGATTTCTTCAGGTACTTCTTCTGCTCGTGGGACGTCTACAGCCTGTAAAGGTATCTCTGTTACAGGTTCTGGTTCAGACATTTGGCTCTCTGTTTCGGATTCTTGAGGCTCTGCTTCGAGTTCTTGTTCGGAATCTATTTTAACTGCTGATTCTGGTTCAGGGATTACTGCTGGCCTCGGCTCAACTATTTAATGAAAGAAAATAGCAGAATGAATTATTGACTGTATTTGGCATTATTTATGGAAAACAACATTGAAACACACACACACACACACACACACACACACGCACACACGCACACACACAAAAAAAAGAATCATCGATTGTTTGGAAATCATGAAACTGAAATATGATCCTGTAATGAAACGAAATTACGAATTTTAATAAAATCCAATGAAAAATCTATCTAGTACTAGAATCTACTAATAATGGAACTTATGTAGGAAAACTGTATTACCTTCGACATTAAGCCTTGCTGACGTCATATCATTTCCACATTGATTAGTTGCCATACATTTGTACATGCCCTCATCCTCAGCAGAGCAGTTCAATATCTCTAAAGTCAGCTTGTCTTCCTCGCAAGTTATTTTGTACTTCTCGTTTTCACTCAAGAGATTGTCTTCGTGGAACCACTGGTAGGTAGGTTCTGGATTCCCGAGAACCAGGCAAACAAAGTGCGCGCTTTGCGTTTCCTTGATCGTTTCATCTCTTAGCTTTCGTATGAACTCAGGTGGTTCACCTCGAGGCCGCATGGGCGTTGATTGGCTTATGGGCGAGTCTACGGCCAAAAGCTCCTCTGATGGTATTTTTGGCCTATTAAAATGATATGAACAATAGTTAAATCTTAAATGACGATAACGTGGTTAAATATGAGGAGTCTTTATACATATATCAAGAATATAGAACTGATCCTTTTAAGTTATCAAAAACGAATATGAAACCATTCAAATAAAAACCGAAATAAGCTTACAATGACTTGACGGATTCCTTGATGCTACGTCGAGATTCTCTAGGGAATTCTTCTTCCTCTTGTTCTTCATCAGAAGGAATCAATTCTGAAGAGTAAAAGTTAATGAATTAATAAATAAAGCTCAATCTTCGATATTGAAACTGCGTTTCGAAAAGAATATATTATTACCTGTTATTATAAGACTTGATGACGAAAAGTCTCTTCCGAGTCTGTTAAAGGCTAGACATTTGTACCTTCCTTGATCTGTTAACCTGCAATCTCTGACAACCAGTGTTACTTGTCCACCTGGTCCTTCTTCGAACCGTATCCTTCCGCCTTCAAGCAACTCACGATCATCTCTGTACCATTCGATGGAAGGCTTAGGATGTCCAGTGAGCTTGGCACTTAGTCTTGCTGTGCTACCTACCACAGTTACAGCACCTCTGAGTTCTTCTAGGAATCGAGGTGCACTAGCAACAACGGAAGGTTTGCTTTTAGGGAGTTCTGTAAAAATATAAAATGAAATGGGCGTCAGCTTATTCCCATTGAGATGGACAAATATAGGGTATTTTCAAAACCAGAGAAGGATCGTTAAATAACTAGCTAATTCCTGAAAATACTTCATTGCACCAAGTTCATCAAAAGCAACGGGGACTTACATGCCACAAGGGCGGATCCAGCCAAAATTTTAGGGGCTAACTGAGTTTAGGGGAAGACTAATTGAGTTTCTTCCGTCAACACAACGGAAAACAATATAAAAAAGCATTCAGCCCCCTTTTGCCCCCGCTGGATCCACCCTTGTGCCATGTCAAATTGTATTTGAAACACCAAAACGAAAAATATCATATCATGAAAAATCACTCTTACCTTCAACGGTTAGTCGTGCAGTAGTGTGAGCTTCGCCTCCAAGACTTGTAACTTGACATTTGTAAGTCCCGACATCCCCAACTTGGCAATCTCGGATAACAAGACTCTGAGTCCCGGACATACTGCTAATCTCGTAGCGACCATAGCTTCCTATCGCGCGATCGTCTTTGTACCACAAAACGTAAGGCTTTGGTGTGCTTGAGGTTCTGCAGTTGAACCTTACTGACATACCTTCAACGACTGTTCTGTCTCTCAAATTAAGAAGAATCTCGGGCTTTGGAACATCCGATTTTGACTCGATTTTTGCAACTCCTCTAAAGAGAGGAATAAATGAGTTAAAATGTGTTCAGAAAAATGAGTCAATTAGTCATATCGACTGAAAAACAAGTGTACTGAGGGGAGATGATTGACACAAAAAGTATGTGGGATTGTGACTTATGATCTTGTTCAATGATACTGCTCAATAAGTAGGAATAGAAATAGGAATTGATAAAACAAAAATGCAATTTCTAGAATAATCAGCTTCAAATTACTTACTTTTTTCCAGTCTCAGTGTCACTTTCCTCTTCTTCTGTTTCAGGATCTGATTAAAAACCGTTAAGATTATTGCTATGTCACGATATGGCATGATACGATAACAAGGCATGAAAAATGAAAGGGAAAAAAAAAAAAAAAAAAAAAAAAAAAANAAAAAAAAAAAAAAAAAAAAAAAAAACCCACGAGAAATTCATTCAACAAGTAGAGAGTACTTAGAAAAAGCTATGAAGCCACAAAGGTGAAAATAACCCAAACTGGCTTACGTTTGACTGTGACATCAGCTGTGCAATGCTCTCTTCCAGCGCTGTTCCTTGCAATGACTTTGTAATTGCCAGTATCATCTTCTGTGACATCATTTATTATCACGGCATACATCTCATCGTTGACTTCAAATTGGTACTTGTCTCCCTCAATAAGAGGTTCATCGTCACGATACCATCTCACTTCAGGTGTTGGAGCACCAGTCACTTGGCACTGTAAACGAACAGATGTACCATCTACGGCAGTCACGTCCTTCAGTTTTATGAGGAATCGTGGAGACGATCCTTCAAACTCTGGCTCCATTGCAGCTGTAAAGATATTAACGACATTGTTAATGTATTACGAAAGAAAATTCAACAGAACGATGAATGGGACGAAAACCTGTAATACTTGTGACCATATTCATGGGATATTAAATAGATTGGTGAGAAGTTTTAAAACAGAGCCGTACCTTGAACGTTTAAATAGGCAACACTTTCAACGGAACCAAACTCGTTGGTTACTACTATTTTGTAAGGACCACTGTCAACCACCTTAACTTTGGATATATTTAATGCGTAAAGATCTTCGTCGTGCTCGAAGGAGAAGCGTTCCCATTCTTTCGAGATTGGAGTTTCGTCTTTGAACCATTGGACAGTCATTGGGGCCTTACTGATGGCACGGCAAGCAAATTTGGTTACACCTCCTTCATTGACGTCTTTGTTTCGTAGCACAAGAGTGATTTCAGGTGGAAGCTTTTGTTGGTACGGAATGCCTTCAGCATCAACCTCGTCGGAAGATTCATCCGTTAGCAGTTCAATAGTTGATTCCCTGTTCAAACAAGCAAAAGATCCATATTTTGTAAGAACAAAAAAGAACATTTTTAAGGTCCAAATATTTGCTTTTATACAAAAATATACCTTTTGTCTCTAAAGGCAGCAAAGTCCATATCTGTGTCACTTACTCCAGACTCAAAACCATGAGCTGAAACAAAGTTAACATAGTTATAAAGTTATAAATTATAAGTAAAAAGTCCACTAGTATTCACAAAAAAATCTTACTTTCAATGAACAATTCTGAACTGCACTGAGCTTTTCCAGCAGCGTTACTTGCTACACATTTGTATCGTCCTCGATCAGACTTGAGAGCATCTCTGATGATAAGTATACAACTGCCATCGTCCTGGAATTCAAATTCTACACGGCCTCCCTCGCGAATAACTTTGTTGTCTTTGTACCAGTCAACATCGGGTTCAGGTATTCCTTGGACTTGGACGGTGAAGCGCGCTGCACTTCCTTCTATAATTTCCTGGTCTTGAAGGCGCTGAATGAACTCGGGCTTTGTAGAGCCTGGGGGAACAGGTTGACGGCGTAGCACAACTGATTGAGCTGGTAAATAAAAGTAGTCAGTTAATTCCAAATTTATTTTGCTATTGTATTTTGCTATTGTATACATTTTGAGACAAACTTACCGTTGATAGTCACTTTGAAGGTTTTTCTTATTACTCCAGCAGAGTTGGTTGCTTCACAATGATATTCACCAGCGTCTTCCGGTACAGCCTTAGGGATAACGAGCATGTACTTATTGCCCTCACTCAGAAGCTGCACTCTCTTAATTCGTTTGGCTTGTCTCTTTTCCTTGAACCACTCTATCGTTGGTGGAGGTTTTCCTTTCACTTCTACAACCAGTTGTATAGGCACGCCTTCCCATATATCAATAGGTATATCTCCAGGTCCACCAGTGAACGATGGAACAGAGATCCTTGATTTTACAGTTAGCTCTGCTTGGCAAGACGCTTCGCCGGCCTTGTTCTTGAGCACACATGAGTATTCGCCAGAATCACTTGGGATACAATCACGAATGGTTAAAGTATACGCCTGGGTGTCGTGATCTTCTTCTATGCGTATTCTTCCACTGCGGACAAGTAGCTCTTCGCCTTTGTAAAAGTCTACTGTTGGTAGAGGTTTACCAGATACTAGAACTTTCAAAGCGACCTTGTCTGACTCTGTTACGAGCAGGTCTTGTAATGGCTGATCGAAGGTTGGTACGCGTACGTCTTCCTTCACTATTAATCTGGCACCTGATTTGGCTCTTCCTTCTTTGTTCTTAGCGATACATTCATAAAGCCCATCGTGCTCCTTCTTAGCTCCCTTGACTATAAGAACGCATGAGCTGCCATCGAATTCAGTGTATATGTGGTAGTCTTCCCTGAAGTTTCGTCCATCCTTGAGCCACTCGACCATGGGTCGTGGTGTTCCTCGTACTGTGCATTCCATCCGTGTATCTTTACCCTCAACAACTTCTTGTTCTTGAAGAGGCTCGACGAAGAGAGGAGCAGGTTTTTTAGCTGTAAAATAATGAATATTAATAAATATTAATTTAAATATATGATAAATGATAGAATTCACCACTCATCATATGATTTTTTTTTTGATGTGGTTATGATAAGAGAAAAGAATCAAAGCATATTTCAGAAGAATTAAATTGCGTGCATTGCTTTCTCATGTTAATTTGTATGGAAACACAAAATAATCAAAATTACAGGCAAACGTTTTTCTAATGATGATGGAGATGAGTATACAAACTACATACGATGAAAAATATTCATCTTCTACTCACATTCAACTACGACGGTGAAAGATTTTGAAAAGGTTCCAGCCACACTCTTCGCCGAGCACTTATAAACGCCAGTGTCTTCGGCGACAAGTCCACGAACTGTCAAACTGTATTTGTTCCCGGCTGGATAAATCTTTATTCGCTCTGTTCTCCTAATGAGGGTTCCATCTTTATACCATTCGACTTCGGGTAAAGGGTTACCTTCAACGTTTGTATGTAGTTGTAGATCATCTCCTTCGCTTAATAACATTGTTCTCTCAGGTAATTCTGAAATGATTTTAGGTGGTATCATTTTCTCAGTGACGTCAAGTCTTGCGCTGCACTGCATTCGACCAGCCTCGTTACTTGCCACACACTTGTAAGTACCCAGATCGTCAAGGGTAACATGTTTAATAACAAGTTTGTAAGTGTTTTTGTCGACTGTTCTTATCTGGAAGCGTGCATCGCCTCTTATTTTCTTTCCTCCTTTTGCCCATTCTATTTCAGGCTCGGGATTACCAACCACACGGACAACGAATTCAGCTGTTTTCTCCTCCATTGCTGTAGTGTTTTCCATTTTTTTCTTAAATTCAGGTGACACAATGGGTTCTTTGACCACTAGCTGAGCCTTCGAGGAAACAGTGCCAACATCATTTGTTGCAACACAAGTGTATTCGCCGCTGTCGCTGTCTTTAGTTTCAAAGATCGTTAGCTTGCACACCTCTCCATCATAATAAGTTCTAAATTGTGGGCTGGCTGTCAAGACTTCTCCGTCTTTCGTCCACTCAATGGTTGGTTCGGGCTGTCCGCTGACTTTTGCTTCAAGCTTTGTAGTGGCACCATGTTCTACTTCCGTTCGCCTGAGCTCTTTGAAGAACTCTGGAGCAAAACCTCTAGGCTTTTTAGCTGTAAAACAAATACGCAAACCATGATTACTTTTTTACACAACTAAGGAATAACCTAAGCGCGTGCGTTGATTCCCCTCCCAAACAAATTTTGAACAGTCAATGGCCGGACAGCTCGCAAATAATTTTTTTAAGGTTGAAGTGCTTCGGCTTTACTATTAACATGACCTGGGTGGAGCTTTTTATATTAACAAGTAAAAAAGAGCTAGTTTCAAACATAAGGCTAGACATGTATGTGAAATAGAACAAAAAGGCATTAAAAATATGTGCTGGGTTAAAACATTTTATAGTTTACTCACGAGCAACGTCAACGTTAAATATTCTGTAAGAAGAGCCAGCCTTGCTTCTTGCAACACATTTGTACCATCCAGAATCTTTTGTCGTTACATCGGAAATTTTCAAGGTATGTTTGGTATAGCGAGAGCGAATGGTAATCCGACTGCTCTCGAAAACTACGGAAAAGAGAATGCAAGCATTAAACATGAGAAATTAGCATTTGGGCATCGATCTTGCACAATATGTAGTTTCAGAAAAGATCTAAATCATTATGATAAACAATACTCCTTGGTCTTAAGAAGGTGATACTGAAAATGAAAATGCTAAATCATCACGGACTCAACCCAGAGTGCATTCCCAAGTTAACCATAAACGTAAGCATACATACCTAAGATGTCATCTTTGTACCACGTTAATTCAGGAGCGGGTCGTCCTCTCACTTCAACATCAAGGCTTACATCATCTCCTTCCCTGAATGACATGGGTGCTTCTTGAGTACCAACAAACGAAGGAATTATTAAACTTTCAAGCACCTGTAGTTCCGCTTTTGTAGTTGCTTTTCCTGACTCATTTCTGGCTACACATTGGTATGTACCTTCGTCGTCTTTGGTGGTACTTGGAATAATAAGCACGAACTCGCCTTCCTCATCTCCTCGCTCAATTTGGAATCTTTCTCCGCTTTCAATGAGTTCATCGTTGTAGTACCATTTAACACTGTCCGTTGGGCCTTTTAATTTAACAACAAATGTAGTTTCCTCTCCTTCACTAGCTTCAACATCCATTAATCTCAATTTGAAAGATGGTGGTCTGACACTTGACTCTACGGTTAGATCTGCAGTCGTTGTAACTGACCCTACTTCATTTGTTGCAACGCATCGGTATCGCCCTTCGTCACTATTCTTAACTTCTAGGAAGTTGACGTATTTCATATCTCCTGTAGATCCTGTTGTTACCCTGTCATTTGTAACTAAAGATAAACTATTTTTAAACCATTCAACTGTTGGGGTTGGATCTCCAGATATACGGCATCGCATTTTCATGGGACTTCCTTCACTGACCAGCGTTGCTTTCAGAGGCACTATTATTTCTGGTGGTGATTGTCCTGGTGTCCAAGTCTTTTTTGCTACAAGAAAGTAATAAAGGCAAGTTAATAAATATCTAGTACATACAAGAGGCAAGATAGTAAGTTATGTGCAAGGTATGTAACTCACGTTTCACTGTCAACTCCACATTCCTAGTTGCAGTGCCAGCCTTGTTCTTTGCCACAACTTTGTAGGTTCCGCTGTCACGTTTTACCAAATCTGTTATGTTGAGACTGAACCTGTTACCTCTCGAAGAGAGCTCTAATCTGTCAGACACAATAACTGGTAGCTCGTCTTTGTAGAATGTGACATTTGGCAACGGTCGGCCTCGCAGGTACACGGCAAGATCAAAATCGCTGCCCTCGAAGTCTTGGATTGGTTCGGCTTCCTCACCAATGAATGATGGCTCGATCATGACCTCAGCAAGCTGAAGTTCTGCCTTTGATATCACTTCACCAAGTTCATTGGTTGCTACACACTTGTAGAGGCCTTCATCTTCAGAAACTATATCCATAATGGTAAGAGAGAAGTATCCTCTTCCTTCTTTTTCTGCTCTAAACCTTCCTTCGGACTCAATTTGGACGTCGTCTTTGAACCATTCGACCCCTGGTGTAGGAGTACCAAGCACTCGAATACGGAACGTTCCGCTTTCGCCAATAACTGACTCGACATTTTGAAGCTTTTCGATGATTCTTGGACGAGATTCCTTGTCGCTCAACGTGACCTCAGCGGAAGATGATACCGAGCCATGTATGTTCTTGATAGTACATTTGTAAATACCTTCATCTTCTTGTTTGGCTTCTGTGATTCTGAGCGTGCACACATCTTTTTCGTATTCGGTTGTAGTTCTCCAGTCTTTGCGAATCGGTAGGTCATCTTTAAGCCATTCAACTGTCGGTTGTGGCTTTCCATAGACATGACACACCAGTCTTATTGTTTCGCCTTCAATTACGTCGGTTGGTTGTAGGCGCTGCAAAAACTGTGGAGGCTCACCTTTCAGACTGCCACCTTAAAGGGAAAAAAAGGATAAGGTAAAACATACATACATACATACTTTATTCGTCCTCTTTAAGGCTTTTCAGAATAAAGGGAAACCAGAATTTCCATTTTTTGCTTAAGAATTGTATTTTACACCAGTGCAAGTTAAATGTTTATTTCTAATTATGAACGCCCTTTTGCGTCATATATTTATTAAGGATACCTACATCAACAAAGTGCAACTTTCTAGAAGGGTTTAAGATGACTATGATAGCAGGACATAATAGGACATACAAGACTTATTAAGTAGATGCATACCTTCAACTTTCACCACGAACGTTCTGGAAGCAGTTCCTAATCTGTTCTTAGCTTCGCACTTGTATGTTGCTGCATCTTCAGGCTTAACACTAGAGAATTTCAAAAACTGAACGTTGCCACGAGAACGTATGTCAGCTCTAAGGCTTCCATAGGTAGGTATGCCGTCTTTGTACCATGTTACTGAAGGCTGTGGATTACCAAGGACGGTTGCCTTGATGGTGGCGTCTGCTTCGGGGGAAAGGACTGTTGGTTCAGTTTGTTCAGGTTCTTCAAACATGGGAGCAAATTGTTTTTGCCTGACATCAAGCTCTCCGCGACAGGTGGTCTTTCCTGCTCTGTTAAGTGCGACACACTTGTAGGTTCCTGCATCGTCCATGGTAACATTGCTAATTATGAGTGAGTATGAACCTCTGTCTTCATTGTAGTCAAACTGGTATCGTCCCACATCAACGATCTTGGTAGCTCCTTGATACCATTCTAGTTCAGGAGTAGGAAAGCCCTTTACACGTACCTCCAAGCGAACTGTTTCGCCTTCTATCGCCTCTTGGGGTTTCAGTTTTGTCTTAAATTCGGGCTTGGTAGAAACTCGGATTTCTAGCCTTGCGGCTGTGGTAGCTTTTCCCAGTTCATTGCGAACAACACACTTGTAGTTCCCTATGTCCATGTCTGTTGTTTCTTTGAATGTGAGAGTTACTACGCCATCGTGTAACTCCGATTTGACACGCCTCGTTTCTTTCAAAGACAGTCCATCTTTAAACCATTCTAGCTTCGGCGTTGGTTTTCCAGTAATTACAAACTTAAGCTGTGCGCTCTCTCCCTCATTAACTTCAACTGGTTTCATTTCTTCTATAATTTCGGGAGCATTGCCTTCGGGCTTTTTAGCTAGAATTTAAAATAAAACATGTTAATGTGGTATTTTCAGCATATTTTGATCAATGATACCTGAATCCCACTTTGCAAAGCAGTATGAAGTCTGGTTTGAAATGCGATTTCATGTTTGTGAAAATAATTATTATTACGCTGAAAATTATTTGCTGCAAATACTCATTGGAAAGGAATCATCACGAAAAAAGCAAATACCATATCAATTCTTATTTTAAAAGTACCTTCAACATTAATGTTGACCGTTTTCGTGGCAACACCTCCTTTGTTACGAGCTACACATTTGTACATTCCACTGTCTCCCACTGTTAAATCAACCATAGCCATAGTAATCTTGTTATCTTTGTAAAGAAGTTGTATCTTACTAGTCGACCAAACCATACGCTCATTTCTGTACCATTCAATTTCAGGTGAGGGTTTTCCACTGACTTCTAAATTCAGCTCACAGCTGTCCCCTTCAACAAGGTTAATCGGTCCTTTCAAGTCGCCAATGAATTCTGGGGGAATCACGTCTTCTTCTATATGCAAGAAACCTCTGGAGGAAACTTCCCCAACTTTGTTAGTAGCGGTGCACTTGTACTGCCCACCGTCTTCTGCCTTCGTATCTTTAATGACGAGAGTGTAGAATCCATCTTGCTCTTCCAGAATTGAGAATCTTCCGCCATCTTCGATCTTGATATTTTCATGGAAGAACTCAATTTCAGGAGGTGGGGTGCCACTTACACGTACCTGCAACAGAACATCGTGTCCAGCTTTTCCTTCTGTATGTGTAAGTTTTTGTTCAAACTTTGGTCTTTTTCCTCTTTGGTTTACCATAAGTTCAGCAGTTGTTGTTGCTGAACCAAGTTCGTTTCGAAGTGCGCATTTGTAGACGCCTTCGTCTTCTAGCTTGGCACCACGTATTGTCAGTATGCATTGTGCACTTGAAATGTCAGTTCGATACCGAAGGCTATCATTAAGTACTTCTCCATCTTTGCTCCAGATTACAGTTGGCTTAGGTGTACCAGAAATAGAACATACAAATTTGACATCTTCATCTTCATTGACATCTTGTGGTTTCATCTTGGTTATAAATCTTGGCGCTTCCCCTTCAGGTTCGGTAGCTATATATTGCAACAAAAGTAATTTTTATAATTTAGTAGGTTTTTTGCTAATTGAACTGCTAATTTTGTATGCTTTTTACTTACCTCGTACTTTTACAATAAAGTGCTTGATGGTCTTTCCAAGCCGATTGGATGCTTCACATCTGTACTTTCCTGCATCTTCGGGTTTGGCAGTGAAGACTACAAATATGTAATCATCACCTCGAGTTCTGATATCTCGTCTTGAACTCACTACTAACATTTTTTCCTCTTTGTACCAAGTAACTTCAGGTTTTGGCTTTCCTGATGGACTGACCGATAGTTTGAGCTCTTCTCCTTCATTGACGAAAACTGTTGTTGTTTCTTCATCTCCAGGGAATATCGGGATTGTCTCCTTTTCCTTCACGACCAGTTCGCCACGGCATGTGCTTTTTCCTGCTTCATTTGTAGCAACACATTTATAAACCGAAGAGTCATCGAGTTGGCATCTGCTTATGATTAGAGAATATGTATCTTCCTCATCTTCTGCGTCGATTATTTCATATCGAGCCATATCTAAGATCTTTGTTGAGCCCTTATACCATTCGATTTCGGGTTTTGGATACGCTTTTATTCGAACCTCGAATTGAGCTTCCTCTCCTTCATTAACCTGGATATTCTTAAGTTTTTCGACGAACTCTGGCCTTGTTGGGATGATAACCTTGAGTTTTGCTGATGTCGGCGCTGAACCAAGCTCATTACGAACAACGCACTTGTACTGGCCTGAATCCTCTCCTCGCGATTCTAGAAAGATGAGTGACGCTGTAGTCCCGTCAAACTCCGATTTCACACGTCTACTATCCTTGACGGGGAGTCCATCCTTAAACCACTCAATAATTGGCATTGGTTTTCCACTCACTATGCACATAAGCTTTGCTGGTTCGCCCTCTGTAACTTCAACCGGTTTAAGTGAGTCGATTATTTCAGGGGCTTCACCTTTTATCTTCTTTCCTATAAAAGAGGATTAATAATATTGCTCAAAAGATAAATTCCACAATCTTAAAAATTTGAATAAATCATTAAGATTTTGCTGACAACCTCTGTATCTCCAAGTCTGTTTTGACTCATTCTCTCTGTTCTGTGTAGCTTTTGCTTTAAATACCCGTGATAAGGAGCACTGATAGTCTACTCACCGAGTTATAAGTAAAATAAGTTTAAGTAAAGTAAGCTACCCATAACTTTTTACCTGACTGAACCAGTTTATAAATATTGTCCTTTTGTTTTTTTGTTTTTCTCCTTCAAAGAATGAGTATTTCATTACTCATGCGAGAAATACATCCTAAACCTTTAAAGTCGCAAATAGATTTTTTATGGAACTAGTAAAAAATGCCATTTAAACTTACTTTGTACTTCCAGGTCGAAAGATCTGCTTGCTTGTCCAGCTTTGTTTTTGGCCACACATCGATACATACCGCTGTCATTCTTTGTCAGGTCTACCAGTACAAGTGCGAAACGATTGTCTGTAGCTTTAAAGTCAATCTTGTTTGTCTTTTTTAAGTTAGTGTTGTAATGGTACCACTCGACTTCAGGCATAGGCTTGCCAATGACTTCTACAGTCATCTCTACGCTCTCACCTTCGCTTTTGACGAAAGGTTCTTCTGCTGGACCTACAAACGCAGGCCTTACTATCTCTTCCTCGACATTTAGTGTCGCTCTAGATTTGACTTCTCCAATGGAATTGAACGCTATGCATTCGTATTTGCCAGAATCTTCAAGCTTGCAGTCTTCAATTACAAGAGAGTGAACCATGTTCTCTTCAATGATTTTGTATCTTCCTCCATCTCTGATCTTGGTAGATTCTTTCATCCACTCAACGTCAGGAGCCGGTATTCCAGATAATCGGACTTGGAATTTGGCTTTCTCTCCTTCAACTACGTCGATATTCTTTAACTTCTGTTCGAATTTTGGTCGAATTCCCAGCTCATTGACTAGTAACTGGCATGTTGATGAGGCTGAACCAAGGTCATTTGCTGCAACAATTTTGTAAACGCCTTCATCCTCAATTCTAGTTTCTTTGAAGGACAGCGTACTCGTAGTTCCATCAAATTCGATCTTAATACGACTATCGGTTTTAACGGTTACATTATCCTTGGTCCACTTGCAGGTTGGTTGAGGCGTTCCAAAAACCTTACAGACAAGCTTGGCAGGACTTTCCTCGGTTACCTCTATACGTTTCGTCAAACCCGAGAGAGAAGGTTCTTCGTCTTTTGCTGCAGCAGCTTAAATAAAAAAAAAGAGAAAAATATATTGAGATAAAAAAAAGAGACGTCTTTAAGTGGAACAAAGAAACGTTTATAAAGACATCATGTAGCCTAAATACCTTTGACTTGCACTTCATAGGTCCTGGAAGCAGTTCCGATCTCGTTCTTGGCTTCACACTTATAAAGACCAGCATCAGTTGGTTTCGCACGTAAGATTACACAGTTATAGGTGTTACCACGAGATTTGATGTCATAGGCAATGCTGTCACGCAGTGGTACTCCTTCCTTGTACCAAGTTACTTGGGCTTGAGGCTTGGCTTTAATAATAGCTGTGATGGTAGTTTCATGTGTCTCGCGAACAATGATGGGTTCCGCTTCGCCTTCAAACTGAGGTGCAAAGAGATTCTCATTGATGACAAGTTCGCCTCGTGATGTGGCTCGTCCAACTTCGTTAGATGCAACACACTTGTAGTTTCCTGCATCTTGCATTTTTACATTGGAGATAACCAGGGTGTAAGTGCCATTCTCTTCATCTTCAATGATTTCATAATTCCCTTCGTCGTCAATTTTTGTTCCGCCAACAAGCCACTCTACTTCAGGTTTCGGGTAGCAATCAATACCTGCTACGAATCGGGCCTCTTCTCCCTCTTCCACCTCTACTTTAGTCAGTTCTGTAGTGAAGGTTGGCATGGTAAGCACTTTGATGATTAGTTTTGCAGAAGTTGATGTTTCACCAAGATCGTTACGGATTACACTTTTGTAAGACCCAGCATCTTCTTCCTTTGCTTGCTTGATCGTTAGGGTGGCAGTGTCATTCTTGTATTCCGACTTAATGCGCCAGCCTTCCTTTACTGGAACGTTATTTTGGAACCACTCAACAGAAGGGACTGGTGTGCCACTTACTTTGCACTTCAGGATTGCTGTGTCTCCGTTGGAGACCTCGACGGATTTGAGAGGCTCTGTCACTAATGGTGCAGTACCAAGAGCTGTTGAAAAAGAAGAGATGATTTTAGACATTGATTTTATTAAGATTTCTAACATACAAAGCTTCTTAAATAAGTAAGCAAAGAAAAATCTTACGTTTAATTTCTGTTAATGGTTCTGCAGCGGCTTCAGATTCCTCTATCGTCTCTGGAGCAATAAGTTCTTCCTCTTGTAGAGCAAGTTTGGCTTTACACGAGACTTCTCCATCTTCGTTGAAAACGACACATTTGTATCTACCAATATCTTCAGGCTGGACGTCCTCTATGATGAGCTGGAAAAATCCAGTATCGTCTTCATCATCAATGACGATAAACCTTCCAGAATCCTCAATAACATCTTCGCCTTTGAGCCAATCGAGCTCGGCCGGTAGGGATACGCGGATCTTAAAATTAGCTTTTTGGCCGATCTTCACTGTAATGTCACTCAGTTTTTCGAGGATGGTCGGTCCTTGCCCAAGTTCTTTATCGTTTACAACGACCTCTGTAGTCGTTGAAGTCGAACCAAATTCATTACGTAAAACACACTTGTAGGTACCCTCGTCATGTGTAGTTGCTTCTTTGATGGTAACGGTGCACGATTTTCCGGTGTATTCAATGGCAATACGATCGTCAGGTTTTAGCTCTACGCCGTCCTTCAACCACTCGCAAGCTGGTTCTGGAGTACCAGTAAAGTCGCAAAACAATATAGCCTCTTCTCCCTCAGTTACTTCCACTGGTGCAAGTCTTGTGGTTAGTACTGGTGCTTCGCCTTTCGGCTTTTGCTCTGTAAACAAAAAAAGTTTATATGTTTCATGATATTTTATAACCAGGCGACATAATGACTATTAAACATAAATAAATCCTTTTACATACCTCCAACTTTTAAAGTGAACGTCTTATAATCAGTCCCGTGCTTGTTCTTTGCTTCACATTTATAGATACCTGCGTCCTCTGGTTTAGCACGAAGAATCTCGAACGAGTGGCTTTCACCTCGTGACCTGACTTCAGTATTTAGCGATGTTCTGACTGGTTTCCCGTCTTTATACCATTTAACTTCCGGTTTTGGTTTTCCTTTAACCGTTACTTTGATGTTGACTTCTTGATTTAGATCCACATATATTGGTTCATCATCACCTCCAGTGATTTCAGGGGCAAACTCTCTTTCCTTGACGGTTAAGTCGCTGCGAGACGTGCTCTTTCCAGCGTCATTCGAAGCTACGCACTTGTATGCTCCGCTATCGTCAAGTGTAGTGCTGTTGATAATGAGTGTATATCTTTCATTATCTTCTTCAAATGTGTATCTCCCTGTGTCAACGATCTTTGTTGTTCCATGGTACCACTCAACTTCTGGCTTCGGAAATCCTTCAATTTCAACATCGAATTGCGCTTTGGAACCCTCTACGACCTCAAGTGGTCGGAGTTTGGTCTTGAAAGATGGTTTTATCGGCACGACAACTGTTAACTTACATGATGAAGAGACTGTACCATGCTCATTGCTTACTATACACTTGTATTCGCCTGACTCATCTCCACGTGTTTGCTTTAGTGTCAACGTCGCAACATCATCTTCGAGTTTTCCTTTCACGCGATAGCTTTCTCTGATGGGCAAGTTGTTCTTTTCCCACTGCACAGTTGGTAAAGGAGTTCCAGAAACCTTACAAACAAGCACCGCTTCATCTCCCTCCATTACTTTTACAGATTGTAACGGCTCAATGATCTCTGGTTTTAAGGCTGAAAACAATACAACAACATTAATGAGACGAAATGATAATAGGGTCAAAATGTTTAATTACTCGGAAAAAGTTAGCTTGAGAAAACAGTTACCTCTAAGTGGTGCTGACTCTGTTTCGTCGACGCCCTCTGAAGTAATCGCTTCTTCCTGTATTCGCAAACGAGCAGTCGAGGAAACTTCACCAGACTCATTGAACACGACACACTTGTACATCCCAACATCTTCTGGATGAACGCCTTCAATTTCAAGTTCAAACAGCCCTTCGTTTTCGTCGTCAACGATCATAAATCTGCCAGCACCTTCCACCAATTCTTCATTTCTAAACCAATCAACTTCGGCAGTCCCAGAAACGCGAATTGAAAATTCGACATTCTGTCCCAGAACAGCATCTACGTCTTTGAGCTTTTCTACGATGCGAGGTCCAGCGCCTTCTTCTTTTTCGTTCACCAATACTTCCGTAGAGGTTGAAACTGAACCTAAGTCATTTCGAATGGTACATTTGTAATGCCCTTCATCATCAAGTGTCGATTCTTTGATGGTTATAGTTGATGACGTGTCAGACACTTTTATTCTAGTGCGACCATCAGGCTTAATTGCCAACCCATCTTTCGACCATTCGCAAACTGGTTCTGGTTTTCCAGAGAACTCACAGACAAGGACCACATCTTCTCCTTCCGTTATTTCAACTTGTTTCAATTTTGAAGTAATCACAGGAGCTTCCCCTTTGGGTTTTTCAGCTGCAAATAAAGTAACAGACAAAATTACTCTCCTGCTTAGTAAATTAGTAAATAAATGATCTTTTCTCGACGAGAGGAAACTCCTAAACCTAATAAATACACTCGATTGATATCTACACATTTCACTATGCTACTGGGCCCAGTTGTACGAACAGTGGATAGCGCTATCCGATGGAAAATTCCTATCCAGTGGATAAACTTATTGGATAACAGCATCGACTTATCCACTGAATAAGGATTTATACGTTGGATAGCGCTATCTGCCCTTCCTACAACCGGGCCCTGAAGACAACTTTTTTCTTCTTCTTCTAAATACAATTCGATTATACCAAATGTTGTCGTAAGTTTAGAACTTTATTGTTGAATGTTGCACTTATGCCTGCATGCGCTTTAAGATCCTGAGGAGTTTCTATCAAATTCCCAAAAGACCAAACTGCTCCGTTACAAACTTATGATAGTTCTTTCTTAATGCGCTCATGGTTTTATTTGCAAAACATCATTCGAAAGCAAATTATAGAATAAGACCTCGTTATCCAACGCATGCAATGAATCTACACCAATATTATTCCATATTAATGGGATTACCTTGAACTCTAACGTCAAATGTCCGAGAATCCTTGCCAACCTTGTTGCTTGCCACGCACTTGTAAGTTCCAGCATCTTCTAGTTTGGAGCTCAAAATTACAAGGGTATGTGAATCTCCTCGAACCTTGATGTCGCGTTTTGCAGTTTCAAAGATTGTTCGTTCGTTTTTAAACCATTCAACATCGGGCTGGGGTTTGCCTTTAACTGTCACCGCAATGTTGACTTCTTCACCTACAGTGACAATTATTGGACCTTTGTCTTCTGCTTGAATTTCAGGTGCAAACTGCTTCTCCTTGACGTCAAGGTCAGCTCTTGATGTAGCTTTACCAACGTCATTGGTTGCGATGCATTTGTAAGAACCGGAATCAGAAAGTCTTAGATTACTTACAATCAGCGAGTAGCAATTTTCTTCTTCGTCTTCGATGATCTGGAACCTTTGATCATCAACAATGGGAGTAGTTCCGTGGAACCATTCGATTTCTGGTTTTGGCAATCCCTCGACACGCACATCGAAACGTGCTTCTCCACCTTCGATTCCTGACACAGGTTTCATTTTCAATTTGAAATCTGGTCTTCTTGGAACTATCACAGTTAGTTTGCTAGTTGAATCTGTTTTTCCAAAGTCATTTTTAACTATGCATTTGTAAACGCCTTTGTCATCTTCACGAGTCTGCTTTATTGTCAAAGATGCAGTTCCACTATCAAAGCTGCATTTTACTCGTCGGCTTTCTTTAATGCGAATGCCATCTTTCATCCATTCAACAGACGGAGCGGGTTTCCCACTAACAGTACACTCCAAGGTAGCATTTTCACCTTCATTGACTTCAACTGGACGCATTTCATCGATGATTTCTGGTGCGGTGCCTTTTTTGCCTAAAGAAGGATAAAAGGAAAAAAGAAAATGCGTACTGATTAAAAATGTCGTACAAATATTGTCGTAGCTCAAAAGAGAAGTTAAACAATTTTGTTGAATTTTAACTTTTGATTCCTTCTATATACATAGAGAAACAGTTAAGACCAGAATTATTTCGGGGAACAAAAAAGCACATAATTTCCTGTAAGCAGCAACATGATCTTAGAAAATAAAACGAATCGTAGGTCAAAAAAACTCGAAAACATAAAGCACTGCATGTTTTCGTAAAATAAAATGTGCTGCATAAATACTTACGTTCGACAACAACTTCGATTGTCTGTTCAGCGACTCCTGCCTTGCTTCGAGCAACACACTTGTAAATGCCGCTATCGTCTTGGGTTACATCAACCATGACCAATGTAAATTTGTTGTCGGTGGATTTGATGTCTATTTTCTTTGTTTTTCTTAAAGGCTTGTTGTCTTTGAACCACTCGACTTCAGGTGATGGCTTTCCCTTCACTTCTGTAGTGATATCCACGGATTCCCCTTCCGTCACTGTGACTGGACCTCCTTTACTTATGAACTCAGGTGCAACCAGCTCTTCTTCAAGGGTAAGAGAAGCTGTGGTTTCAACTTCTCCTAGGTCGTTAAAGGCTACGCACTTATAAGTAGCAACATCCTCTGATTCAACTTGGTCTATGATAAGTGAATATGAATTGTCTTCTTCCTCGGCGATCACTTGGAACCGACCACCATCTTTAATCTGTTTGCCGTTCTTAAACCATTCGATTTCGGGTTTAGGTGTTCCCTGAATTTTGATTTCAAATTTAGCCTTGTTTCCAAGAGCGCAAACCACATCTTTCATTTCTTCTTCGATTTCTGGTTTGGTACCTTTTTCTTCAACCAGTAGTTCCGCACTGGTGGATACTTCACCAAATTTGTTCGTTGCAACACATTTGTACAAGGCTTCATCGTCCAGAACAGATTCTTTAATGATAAGGGTGCTAGTTTCACCATCATAGTCGACTTTTACCCGACGGTCGGTCTTCAATGGCTTATCATCCTTGAACCATTCGACTGTGGGCTCAGGTTTGCCTTTGATCTTGCAGACCAGCTTTGTTTCTTGTCCTTCAACTACTTCATTTGGTTTCATCTCTGATGTTACAGATGGGGCGTCTCCTTTTGGGCCTTTAAGATAAATAGCATGCCATAAGAAAAATGCGATTTAACTTAATGAGTACCACGTGCTCAGCAAGTAAAAAATACATCTGAACACCGACAAATTTTACAAATAAGTCACCGTTCTTTTCATGCTTTAGTGACCTTACAACTTAATTGAATCTATGTAGGATGTTTCCAATCGGTTTGGTAGTTGTCAATTAAGTAATTGGAATTTTAGTTTGATTTAAATGACGGAAGGTTGGTAAACGACAAAACTTATGGAGTGGTCACGTAAACATAAAATGAACGGTATTAAAGGTAAAATCATGAAGAATCAAAGACATAAATTCAATCAAAACGTTAGGTGAGAGTTGGTTAAAGCTAAAAAAGGTACCTGACAGCATTGGAAATATTGAGAAAACATCAGACATTAAGTGTAAGAATTATTAGTAATAAAATAAACAATATGTCAGTCTCAGTCAAATGGGATCAGTTTTGATAACGAAGAAAGGTTAGGAAAGCTGAGTTAGTATTTGTTGCAGAAACTGCGAATGGCAATGACGATGCATATCAATTCCAACCTTGAACTATAACGTCGAACGTTTTTGATGCTTTGCCAAGTTTGCTCGTTGCCTCGCACTTGTATGTTCCTGTGTCATCCAGCTTTGCACTGATAATCACAATGTAATAGGTTTCATTACGTGACCGGAGGTCCAGCCTAGTTGTATCTCGGAGAGTTTTGCCATCCTTGTACCACTTCACTTCCGGCTTTGGGTTTCCTTTGATGACTACTTTGATGTTAACTTCGTCACCTTCATTAACAATGAAGGGTCCTTCTTGATCTCCTTCAATTTCAGGAGCAAACTGTCGTTCTTTAACAGTCAAATCACCTCGGGTTGTCGCTTTTCCTGCTTCGTTAGTTGCTGTACACTTGTATGTTCCAGAATCATCACGATTCACATCGACTATGATCAAAGTGTACTTGCCGTCATCAGTTTCTTCGAACTGGAACCTTCCTTCATCGACAATCTTAGTTGTTCCTTTGTACCACTCTACTTCTGGCTTTGGCTCACCTTTAAGACGTATTTCAAAGCGTGCTTCGCTCCCTTCAACTACTTCTGTAGGTTTCAATTTCATCGTAAAGTCTGGTTTTATCGGGACTTTCACAGTAAGTTTTGATTTGGAAGACGTCGAACCAAAATCGTTGCGAATAACACATTTATAGTCTCCCTGGTCATTAGCTTGCGTAGACTTGATAGTTAGTTTTGCCACATCATTTGAAATTTCAGACTTTATTCTCCTGCTTTCTTTAACGCGGACTGCACCTTTAAACCATTCAACTATTGGCGTTGGCGTCCCAGAGACCTTGCATTCAAGAACAGCGTCATCTCCTTCCGATACTTCAACGGGTTTCAGTGATTCTAGGATTGAAGGAGCTGCACCCTCAGGCTTTTTAACTAAAAAGAAGAGAAGAGGGACTCAATTAAAATATGATAATTCATTCCGCAGGTATACTATTATTTGCACGAAATCCGATTTCAAAATTCTTTTTGAAAACTGCCAGCTTACCATTAACAATCACTTCAAAGCTTTTCTCAGCTACTCCTGCAGTACTTCGTGCAACACACTTGTACTTCCCGGTGTCGTTTGTAGCTACTTTCACTATTACAAGTTTAAACTTGTTTCCATCAGCTATCATCTCTACGTTGCTTGTCTTTTTTATTGGCTTGTCGTCTTTTAGCCATTCAATGTCTGGTAATGGCTTGCCAGTTACCTCTGCATTCAAGTCAATTGTTTCTCCCTCGGTGACAACGATAGGACCTTCCGGGCCCTTGTCGAACTCTGGAGCTTTCAAATCATCTTGCAAGATAAGATTAGCACTTGTTTCTAATTCACCAGTTTCGTTGAACACAGTACATTTGTACAGTCCGGCATCTTCAGGTACAATTTCATCAATAACGAGCGAATGTTTTCCTTCACCCTCTTCTTCGTCGATTAAAAGATAACGACCGACATCTTCGATGACCTTGCCATCTTTCACCCATTCCACTTCAGGTTTGGGCTTACCTTCTACTTTCACATCAAACTTTGCTTCTTTTCCTATTTCCCCTTTAAGATCCTTCATATTTTCTTTGATCACAATGTTCACAGGTTTTTCCTCCTCTGGAAGCTCAGCACTTGCATCACTTGTTTTTTCGTTCACCAGAAGCTCAGCACTGGTATCAATGGACCCTAGGTCGTTACGAGCGACACACTTGTACAGGGCCTCGTCCTCCAAAGTAGTGCTTTTGATCGTTAACTTACTTTCATCGGCGTCATAATCAATCTTTATACGGCTGTCAGGCTTCAATGGCTGGTCGTCTTTAAACCACTCTATTGTAGGCTTCGGCTCACCAGAAACTTTACAAACAAATTTGACGTCTTCGCCTTCCACTGTTTCAATAGACTTCAACTCTGAGTCAAGCACTGGAGCCTTTCCTTTGTCATCTTTAAGAGTAATCCCAAAAATCATCAGAATATACGTAAAAATATTCAACGTAATAGTTGACTGAAAAAGGCATGTATTCTATGAGGAAAGCTTTTGTTAGGTCTTTTTTAGATACAATGCTATTTAGGGTCATAAATTCCTCTTATGTTGGGCGTCTTAGTGTTTCAAATTCAGAAAATGACCCGTCAAAGTCATTCTTTGGGGAATGACTGAGTGGACGGCAAATTACAAATATTTAAACTTACCTTGGACCCGTACTTCAAACGTTTTAGAAGCTTTGCCAAGTTTGCTCGTTGCCTCGCACTTGTACGTTCCCGCATCTTCAGGCTTTGCACTTAGGATGACGATGTAGTAAGAGTTATCGCGGGATCGGATATCCAACCTAGTTGTGTCTCGGAGGGGTTTGCCATCCTTGTACCACTTCACTTCCGGCTTTGGTTTTCCTTTGATGACTACTTTGATGTTAACTTCGTCACCTTTTTGGACGATTATTGGACCTTCTTGATCTCCCTCGATTTCTGGGGCAAACTGTCGTTCCTTTACTGTCAAGTCAGCTCGGGTCGTAGCTTTCCCCATCTCGTTAGTTGCTGTGCACTTGTACGCTCCAGAATCATCACGGTTGACATCAACTATGATCAATGAGTGCTTGCCGTCATCAGTTTCCTCGAACTGGTATCTTCCTTCATCAACAATCTTAGTTGTTCCTTTGTACCATTCTATTTCCGGTTTTGGTTCTCCTTTCGTTTGGACAGTGAACCGTCCTTCTCCCCCCTCAACTGCTTCAGTTGGCTTCAGCTTTACAGTAAAGTCTGGCCTGACAGGAACACGGACGGTAACCTTTGCCATTGTAGAAGTTGACCCGACATCATTCTTAACAACGCATGTATATTCTCCTTTGTCAGTTCCTCTAGTTTGCTTGATAATCAGTTTGGCGATATCGTCTTTAAATTCTGTTTTCACATTTCGGCTTTCTTTTACTTTGATCTTGTCCTTCAGCCATTCAACAGAAGGAGCTGGCTTTCCAGACACTTTGGTCTCCAGCGTTAGTGTTTCTCCCTCCATCACTTCGACAGGCTGAAGTGCTTCTAGAATTTCTGGAGCAGTTTCCTGGGCTTTTGCTGGAATAAAAAAAATAAAATAAAAGAATTAATACTGTTTTTCGTGCGAAATATATCTGTGGGGCAAGCAACGTTTGAAGACTTCTACTAAAATAAATCGACAAGAATAGTTAAGGTAATGCTGCAATGAGCCACGGGGAAATGCTTTTCCCCTCTAACTGGCACCCTGAACTTACGATATAAGAATCCCGTACCTTCCACTTCATCTAAAGTAATAGGAGCACTTTGAGCTTCCTCGATAAGGTCAGGTGTTATTCCGTTTTGTTCAAAGTTCAGAGAAGCTTTTGTAGATGTTTCTCCGTGGTCGTTGATGGCCACGCATTCGTACTCCCCAGCGTCTTCTGGTTGAACATCATCAATAACCAAGGAGAACATGCCTGGTCCTTCATCATCCACTAAAATAAATCTGCCCTTGTCCTCAACTAATTTATCATCCTTTATCCATTCGACATCGACATCATCAGTTGCCACAATAACATCGAATTTTGCTTCTTGACCAGGGATAGCAACAACGTCCTTCAGCTTCTGCTTGAAGACCGGCTTCTTATCGGCTTTCTCCTTTTCTGGTTCTTTTTTCGTGGGAACTGTGTTAAAATGCGATAAGGATACCATATAAATTATATAATCAACGAACTACAAGCGCCCATCATTGTTATTGGAAAGATAAGATGTCTGAGGTATATAACATTCTCAAAGTCCATGGAATGGTTTGAGAACACTACATCCTTTATAAAACACATTTACAACGTACAGTATATAAAAGTCACATTTAACATCAACACATACAAAAATGACATCCATCCAATACTTACTTGATATTGTCCACAACAACTCTATTTTCGAAAGAGGGAGCCAAAACCTTACCTTTTTAAATGGTGATGAAGCGGCTATAAAATGACACCAAATTTATAAGCTAGGAAATAATGAAGTTAGCACATATTCAATAAGTGGCTCCCCCCATTCTTGAATTTAACTTCTAGCGGCTTCAAATCCTTCAATTGGCCCATACATATTTAGGTTTGAGCTTGTGACGAGTTGACGACTTCTTAGTTAACTGTTCATTAATCAGTATTGATATATGTGTGAATCAGAATATGAAAACGCATGAGCAATAAAAATAGTAACAATCATAATCTTACCCAAGTAACAAACTATGATTAAGAACCATATAGTGGGGAAAACTAGTGCATGAACGAAACAATTTCTAAATTAAAAAAAGTTAGTTCAATAACATCGCGATGCATGGAAACCTAGGGTAATATTACAGGTTATGAGCCTGGGGCAAAATCACCCGCCCTATTTTTTTTCCAAAAAAAATTACAGCCTCTACACTCTCAACGCCCTTTCCAAACCGCCAAAGCCTCTGGGGAAAAAAACCTTTACCCTTCACCTCTACTCATGCCATGAAATATTGGTTCGTACATCACGATGAATCCCGCACTAAATGGACCTTAATTTACCGAATTCGATTTAATGACAACGAAACAATGGTCTTAGAACAATGGTGTTGGAACTATTGTTTAAGGGTTATTCAAGCAAATTCGGGAAAAATCTGTTTACAGCGTTTTGGACAATTTGATCGAGGGAGGAAAAACCATTTCGACCATTTTCGATCGCACTAAGCAAGGCGCCGTCCAATTTAAGATATTTTATTGCATCAATATCAATAAGAAATAACACAAACAATAATTTAATTTTTTCCCTTTTATTTTCTACAGTGATAAACTAACCAGGATATTTAATCAGGCATAATTGTCTATATTTGGTTTGAAAACAGGATACGTGTAATTAACTGCAAAACGCAAACAAAAAAAAAWATATATATATATTAATCATCACCCACTCAAGAATAAAGCTTAGTAAACATTGCAAGACACTCTTAAAAAGCTCACTGATTTAGTTTATTATGGAAGAGAAACCAACTTAACTAGCAAAGAAAATGTCGTAGTGTCTTTTTTCTTCTCAAGAGCAATATTATTGGACAATTATATTTCTAATTATCTAATCTAATCTAATCTAATTTAATCTAATCTATTTTTCTACTTTTAACGTCAAAGTCCTAAACGATTTGCCAATGCGATTGGTTGCTTCGCAGACATAAGTTCCGCTGTCTTCAGGCATCAGGCCATATATGTTAAGGTACTGTATCTCTCCACGTGATCTTGTATCTCTTCTTGATGTGTCATACAGAAGCAATCCATCTTTGTACCAAACGACACTTGGATTCGGGTTTCCCTTCACTGTGAATTTTAAGGATAAATTGTCGCCTTGCTGAGCAACTGTGGAAACCTCTTGTTCTTCTTCCAGAAACTCGGGTACGAATTGTTTCCCGCTTACGTGGAGATCAACGATAGAAGTCGTTTCACCACAGTTATTGGAAGCTACGCATTCGTAAAGGCCACTGTCATCCTTTTGAATGTTATAGATAACGAGGGAGTGCAGGCCTGTCTTTGCGCCATCGAAGATTTGATATCTTTCATCTTCAACGATCTTTCTCGTTCCTCGGTACCACTCGACTTTTGGCTCGGGGAATCCAGTGACGGCGAAATCGTACTGAACTTCGCTTCCTTCAAAAGCTTCTACCGTTTTCAATTTCTCGCCTATTTCTGGTTTGGCAAAACATTCACTAACGGTTAACTTAGCTGCAGATGTAGCAGAGCCGAGTTCATTTTGAATGACACATTTGTAGACTCCTCCATCTTCATTGGTGGTGGTTCTTACTAGCAATATCACTACCTTGCCATCAAAGTACGACATAATACGATAATCTCTTGAAACTGGCTTGTCATCTCTAAACCACTGGACAGTTGGTACTGGAACCGCGTGTATCTCGCCAACAAATCTTGTTGTGTCACCCTCGATCATTTGCATTGGCTTAAGCTCGACTGTGAAATATGGCTTCACCCATTGATCTTTTGAAACTCGAACTAATGTAAAAATCGAACACATAAAGTTGTTAGCAGACGAAATTTTTGCGTTGATATGATTTACGAAATGACGCGAAGCAGTAAAAAGGACGCCGGAAAATGACTGAAAATGTTTATGGCTAAAATAGAATGAGTCGAATAAACTAAACAATGCCAAGAACTAAAGGTCGAGTGTGCAAATGATTTGAACGAACCTGAATGATGAATTTTGAAGGACTTGGTGTTGTAACATTGAACGCCGAAACGCGAAATCGAAATGAATTTGACGAAAACATTCAGCGAATAGGTCAACTGAAAGAAATCATCATATTCCAAGATCACAAGTAAATGAAGCTCGTGGGATGTAAATTGCGTCTTTGGTGCCCAAAAATGTGGACGAATTATGACTGCTGCAAAAGATTGTTGGAGAATTACGTCTTCGATGCTGGAAAAGTATAAACGAATATGAATATGACTGCAGGCGAAAAAGAAAAAAAGACCAAGAAAAATTACGTCTCTGGTTCTGAAAACATGTTAGAATGTGAAAACGACTGCCGAAAAAAGAGTGGAAGAGACCAACGAAAACATCCTGTAATACTTTGATTTGGCAAGAAAATAAGCGTAAAACTGGACGACATTACGTAAGCAGTTCGTGCAAATGGATGAGATGAAGCTTATTCAGTGTTGATCTTCAAATAAATGTGAAAAATATGAGAGCAATATATTTGGGAATATATTGAGCACTCATCATTGACATGCTATAAATACCTGATATTCTCACGTCGTAAGATTTTACAGCTTTTCCAAGACTGTTGGTAGCTTCACATCTGTATACCCCGGAGTCTTCCACTTTAGCATTTTTGATCACAAAGTAATTAGCATCACCACGTGAAATGACTTCATAATCTCTGGACTGCGTCAGAAGTTGTTCTTCCTTGTACCACCTGATGTTCGCACTTGGATCAGCTTTTACTAGGCCAATTATTTCTACTTTGTGGTTCTCGGAAGCCACTACAGGTTCAACTCCTTCACCATCGATAAAATATGGTGCGTACTGTCTTTTTTCGCCAGTCACCTCGAGATAACCAAGGAATGTTGTCTTACCAGCTTTGTTGGAAGCCACACACTTATATATGCCTCTGTCATCCGAATTAATATCGGATATAATCAGTGTGTACACTCCTTCGGTAACTGCTATTCGATATTTTCCTCTGTCGCGCAGCTTAATATTATCTTTGTACCAAGCGACTTGATCTGGTTTGCCGGTATGTTTAAAGTGAACATCAAATCTTGCGTCTTCACCCAGGAAAGCTACAACCTCTTTGGATTTTTCGACTAGAAGAGGTCTTGACATCTTTTTGGAAACACGAAGTTCTGCATTACTAACTGAGGTGCCAAGGTCATTACTTGAAGAAAATGTGTACGTTCCACCATCATCTAATATTGCTCCCTTGATGACTAAAATATGCACTTCGCCAAAAGATTCAGTCGAGATGCGACGATCGAATTTCAATGGTATGTCGTTTTTCAGCCACTGGATTGATGGCCTGGGCTTGCCAGAGCTTCTGCAAACGAGCATGATATCTTCGCTCTCTGTGACGTCGAGCGGTGATAAATGGGTACGAATTGATGGAGCTTCATCTAGTGATTTGGACGCTATAACAAAAGACAAGAAAAGATATTTTACTTTTAAAGTTTTTTTCATGTTCCACTAGAACAACCCAGTATCGTAAAATTTTGACCTAAAACTAACATACAACTCACCTTTAACTCTGACGTCAAAGGTCTTGGACAGTGAACCCAACTCATTTACAACTTCACATCTGTAGACTCCAGTATCATCGGGCAATGATGACGGAATAAAAAGTATCTGGTTGTCATCACGAGACAGGAAGCGAATCCTTTTCGTCTCACTTAACTTTTCATCATCTTTGTACCACTTAACAATTGGCTTGGGATATGCTTTCACAGGTAAGACGATATTCAGTTCTTCTTCTTGGTATACGACTATTTGACTTTCATCAATCTCATAGGGACAGTGTGGAGAAAATTCATTTTGCTTGACCGTCAGTTCTGTTCGACAAGTTGATGCTCCAGCTTGATTACTGGCTACACATTTATACGATCCTTCGTCATCCTTTTCTACATTTTTTATTAAGAGAGAATAACTACCAGTTTCTGGTGAACTGTCTATCTGGTATCGTCCCCCGTGTTTGATCTTAATTGATCCCTTGTACCAATCAACCTGCGGCTGCGGTAAGCCTTTGATGTGTGTCTCCAAGCTGACATCACATCCTACAGTAGCTTCGATAGGACCCATTTTCTCTAGGAAAGGCTTGGTTGTGACTTTTGCGCCATCGACACTGAGCGTACCAGCTGCAACAAAGAAGAAAAAATGCATTGCTTTAAATGGGAGTGCTGATCTTTTCAAAGACAATTAAGTCACATAGAAATCATTTTTATCAAGTAAAATATCGTAGTTAATTGTAATTGTAATTGACTACTTGTTTTTCCACGTTTGTCAAGCCTTGTATTTTTTCATAACAGCGACGTGGCTAATGCTGTAGCAAAGAAAATAACGTTAGTAACATACCTTGAACATCCAAAATACAACTTCTAAAGCACTTGCCAAGACGACTTCTAGCTTCGCATAAGTAAGTTCCGCTATCCTCCGGAGT